GCATTTACAATGTACTTGCTTTTCTTCTTCTTCTTCTTCTTCTTCTTCTTCTTCCACCGAAAACAATAATATACCATTCTTTAGCTTAAAAAAAAAAAATAAAAAAATAAACCGTTATCGCCTGAGGATTGCCGTGAGTCTAAAACCAAGGTAACGGGTTCACGTGACAGCCTGATATATATATATATATATATATATACACGAGGGTCATTCAATAAATAAGGTGAATTTTTCGGTATAAGGACTTCTAATGCAGACAGAAGCTTACTTTTTTTTTTAATTTTTCAACGTAGTCTCCCAGCACTGTCACACACTTTTCCCATCTGTGCATAAGCTTCCGTATTCCCTCAGCGTAAAAATCTTTGGACTGATGTCTCAGCCAGTCGCTCACAACACTTTTGACTTTATCGTCACTTTTAAACTTCGTGCCTCTCGTGAACGCTTTCAAAGGACCAAACAGGTGAAAGTCTGAAGGGGCAAGGTGTGGGCTGTACGGGGGGATGAGGGAGCAGTTCCCAGCCCAGCTCGTTGATGGTCTGCACCGTTTGGGCTGCTGTGTGAGACCTTGCGTTATCATGATGCAAGATGATTCCTTCTGACTGATGACCTCTGCGTTTGTTCTTTATGTCTTTCTTGACCTGCCTCAGCAGTTCACAGTAGTTCTTCTGTCAGACTGAATGAGGTCATTGACTGATTCGATCACCTCAGGAGACCTTACTTCTGTAGGCCTCCCAGGCCTGTCTTCATCCTCAACACTGCTCCGTCCTTCTTTAAACAATTTAGCCCACTTGTAGACATTTTTTTTTGGCTGAAACATGTGGCACCATACACATGTTTAAAAGTTTCTGTCTATATTTCTGAGATGTGGTATTATGTAAACTATTGTCCTCATCTTTGTCGCCATATTTATTACAACGTTTCGGCCCTTCAGTATCTGTCTATATTTCTGAGATGAGGTATTATGTACACTATTTACATTATTCGGACTATTGTCCTCATCTTTGGAGCCATATTTATCACAACGTTTCGGCCTTTCAGTATCTGTCTATATTTCTGAGATGAGGTATTATGTACACTATTTACATTATTCGGACTATTGTCCTCATCTTTGTTGCCATATTTATCACAACGTTTCGGCCCTTCTGTATCTGTCTATATTTCTGAGATGAGGTATTATGTACTCTATTTACATTATTCGGACTATTGTCCTCATCTTTGTTGCCATATTTATCACAACGTTTCGGCCTTTCAGTATCTGTCTATATTTCTGAGATGAGGTATTATGTACACTATTTAAATTTACGGACTATTGTCCTCATCTTTGGCGCCATATTTATTACAACGTTTCAGCCTTTCAGTATCTGTCTATATTTCTGAGATGAGGTATTATGTACACTATTTACATTATTCGGACTATTGTTCTCATCTTTGTCGCCATATTTATTACAACGTTTCAGCCTTTCAGTATCTGTCTATATTTCTGAGATGAGGTATTATGTACACTATTTACATTATTCGGACTATTGTCCTCATCTTTGTTGCCATATTTATTACAACGTTTCGGCCCTTCACTATCTGTCTATATTTCTGAGATGAGGTATTATGTGCACTATTTACATTATTCGGACTATTGTCCTCATCTTTGTCGCCATATTTATCACAACGTTTCGGCATTTCAGTATCTGTCTATATTTCTGAGATGGGGTATTATGTACACTATTTACATTATTCGGACTATTGTCCTCATCTTTGTCGCCATGTTTATCACAACATTTCAGCCGTTGTACGCTCCGGCCTTCTTCAGGCGGTTGGAATATCGAACTGAACCCTTTATTTCGCTGACTGGGGTACACTGTTCTGGTTCCACGTGCCATGTTTAATGGATGTCAGTTATCAGTTATCTCCTGTTAATTTTCCCTCTGAAAGTTCTCCACTGCCTTAACCGGGTATTGAACTCACACTTTTGGGGTTCTGTTACTGGATCTAACCAACGCCTTTATCCACTTTATCAGGGACACATGATAATTATAGCTAACAGGGAAGCAAGAAATCGGAAAAAAAATTCCACAGGTAAGAAATGCGAGAAAAACACTATTAGAGTAGAAATTACATCTAGCTAGTTCAACAGTAAAACGATAAGACCTAGTTAAGAAATCTAATAATACGCTTAAATTCATGCAGTCGGCGTACCAGGAAAAAAAAACTCATCAGAACAGTTGCCCTAAAAATATTTGTAGAAAAGACAGAGGGAAGCCACGTCACATCGTTCAGAATAGGACTGAAGTCGAGATGAAAATTTTATCAAGAATCTCGAGATGTGCAACCGGAGAGCCAGACCAGGTTATGGCAAAAGTATTCAATGCATGGACCAATGATAGAGTTGTAATTGTACAAGATGGATTCTGTTGTTTTAACGGCATATCAACACCTCTGTGGGTTATTTAATGACGAAATGTAAATACTTGGCACGTAACTATATGCTTACAACTACAGATATGTG